GGGATGGATTTTTGGTACCAGCCTCATAAGTATCTGTGGTATCTCCCTCCTTTTTAACCTTGACACTAATTAATAGTAAACATATCAACGCGAATTTGACGAAAAAGTAAATCAAAGACAAAGCAAAAACCCTAGAGAAAACTTATACCATATTACCCAATAAATATAAATACGTATGCTCTAGAAATATGTAGAGATAAGGTCAAAAGATGTTATTATGAAATTGAGATCCATGAGTCACATTGTAATCCAAGGCTCTTGAAAATGTGTGAGATTTAAAAAAAATAACTGCTTCCTTCTTATCCTTAATTCTATAGTTATAAACACAGCTTTTATGTCACTGAATCGTCTATACTCAACAATAACCCAAAGGCTTTCTGTCAAAACAGTGTACTCCTACTCAAATTCCATAATATGAAAATGAAGGTAACATTAGAAAATCATCTTTAATTTACCTCAAAACTATTAACTATGTTTAAAGGACAAGAAAAATATTTGTTGCTAAAAACAAAACATTATGACTTAAGTACATGAAAATAATTAGGAATATATTTTTTAAATCTTACATAAACATGTCAGTGTTGGGGGACCCTTCTGGTCCTCAGCTTCACAGATAACTGCGATTTTTACATGCAGGTGTCAATATCGATATGGTAAAAAAATGTAACAGCTCAGGGGATGAGGACCAAGAAAATTTGACAAAAATTGTGCTGTACAAAAAAAAATAATAAGATATAATTATGTACTAAGAAACCATTGCCCTTATTATGCAAGAAAAGAGAAAACAAAAGGTACATTTTCTTAAATAATCTCTTACCATAAGTCTTAGTTTCCTTTAACGAAGACCTTCTGGTATCTACATGTTCAAGGTATTTACATTACAGCATAGTAACTATTCTTTATTCTCCTCGCCCACCTTAGGTTTTTCATTAACAAATTTTAAAGAACTATAAATTTTCTGGAGAAATTTTTGTGAATAGTATGGCTACATCGATTACACGCCAGCACAAGAGTCTGCGGCATTTATAAACACCCATGGTACAGACCCAGCTGGAATAACCCCATTCTATCAAAAAGCTAATTTCCCACACGTAGACAAGGTGATGGCAGAGAACAGAGCAGCTTCCTAATTAAGCAACGCCCTGCCTCGCCATGAAACCTAGCGCAGTGCTGTCTGACTGACATACTGCGTTAGATTTTTAAAATATAAACCAGGTAAAGGGAAAGCAAACATCTACCTGGCTAAATGAGGTACAGAGTTTAATTTAGTTGTAAAAACCAAATAAAAAATACATGACTGATACCACAATTTCACTTTTCAATGACATCTTTACTAAATGTTATTCAATTGTAAGAAAAATACCAATTTAAACATTTCCTCTTGAGAATGTCCAGTAACTATAATTATAGAATATTCTAAAAAAAATAGAGTAAAAATTTTTCTTTAGCTACATGTTTTATTAAAAGCCATCTGCTACAACAATGTACTGGAGAGCCGGGAGAAGACAGGCTTCACTCTGAGCAGTACCGATAACCTGACGAGAATAAACACGGTGAGGCTTCATCTGTCCACACAATGCTTGAAAAAGCAGAGAACTTGAAGAATTTTTAAATGGTTGTTTTTTTATTTATATTACAAAAAAGATTCTTGGCAGCAACTACCAAAGGAATATTTGCAGCTAATGCCCTTTTTGTCCTCTGAAAGAGGTTTAAGCACATGCTCTCTGTGATCCATGAAACTGGACTTCATTGCAAGTTTATATTGTTTCATATTAGCTAATGAATGGTCTTTTTCCAGTTCACTGACTTTAAAAATGAGTATGCATTACCACCTCACTACCTTACCATGCAGACAACAGGTCTTCAAACATTTATTGAACAGACACTATAATATTACTTGTTAAAATTCTATTACATCATTCCTAGGTGGCCAATTAAATATTCTCTTGGGACATCATTTGGATATGACATATTTTCTGAGGTTTTTCATTTCCCATATTTATTCTAACAAGAATAAACTTGTATTACATTCTTCCCATTTAATAAGGGACGTGCATCGATCCATGAATAGTGGATGTAGTTGGCCACCTGGGGTGGGAGCAAGGGAAGGAAAGAGCAGAGATTCCACTTTCTAAGGCTCCCTGGATAATCCAAGCTAAGTCATTGAGTGGCAGCTGAGCCACTACGTAAGCCACCCCTATACAGGATTCCTTCTCCTATCCTGCTCAGACACATATAACTCTGACCGCAGACATCATCTTCCCTGTGCATCTTCTCTGGCTCACCCAAGCAGAGCTGTCACTATCTCTTTTGTATTCCATGCTCTTGACTAAGATACCTAGTACAACCTGTATCATACGCTACTTGACCTAGCCACATACAGGCCTGGCTTTCCCTAGGCTGTTCTCCTCAAGGATATGAACTCTTTTCTTCTACACAGCCCTACCATAGAGAGTCTGGCCAACAAAAGATGCTCGATAAAGAGTTACTGAATAAATGAGTGAATTAATAAGTGAATGAGATTAATAACTGCCTGCCTTGAGATCTTGATTATATCAGACAGTCGTTAAGAGTGGTTTTTAGGGAATATCATTTGACTTTGATATACTTAAATACACATAATCACTAAAATAACAACTCGTATAATCACTACAAAGTCAAGTGTTAGGATTCAAATATTTCATGATATTCGCCAGCCAGAAAAAAAACAAAAAAACAGAAAAAGACAAATCTGATGCTTGGTGCTTCTAAAAAAGATTCCTACTCACTTCCATCAGCAGTTATTCACATCATGTGCTCTTGCGAAAAAATTATTCAAGTAGAAACATACACACATATTAAAGTAGAAACATACACTGATGCCAATATCCATAATTAATATTATCATGTTCGTGATGTAATATCATATTGGTAAAAATAGTAGAAGCTAATCTTGAATACGCATATGCCAACCACTTGATCATTTTATTTAATTCCCCAAACAATCCCAGCAGGGAGTACTACTTTGCAAACTGATGAGACTGAGGCGAAGAAAGTTGGGATAACTTCACGGGAGGGTGAGACTCAAATCCAGGGGCTGCTGGCGCTCACCACGGAGGGACCCCTTGGCTTCAGATTCTACACTCTGCTGCTCGCTAGCTTGTGGCCCTCCGCACTCCCCTTACATGACACCTGATACGCATGGTAAAGCTTTTAGCACATACGTGAGCGTATACTGTACTGTCAGAAGTTCATAAATAATGTTGTGAGAAGTTAGTCTTTATTTTTCTCCTAAAGTTCAAAATCTTAAAAGCTATGAATTAAAGCCTCTTAGCGGAGAAAGGGACATGACAGTAGTTGTTGTCCCATAAGCAGCCATTAAAAATACAGTTTGTTATTTACATGAAAAAAATGATCTGACACCCAGAGTTATGGTCTCTGAACATTTTTGCTCAGATAGTCCCATTAATAAAAACTTTTCTGAGCATAAACTCCCTACATAATTTATTTTTACTGTATTATACTGCATCATATTTTTATGTTCTTCGCAATCAGTCCCCAATCTATCTGCAACTATTTGTACAAGTTTTAAACATATCTGAAATTCTTGATTCCAGATTTTCAAGTAAGATGTTAAGAGTTTTTTTGATAACACATGTATACTGTCTTCAGAATCACACAGTAATGTTTAAATTGCCAAATGTTTCGAATGTCCTTCTCTATGACAAGTTTATTTCCAAAAGTTGTTACTCAGTCATCCACGATCATAACATTCATCCTTACTTGAAGGGACAGATTATTGTGATTTTTTTAAAATATCTTAATATGTGACATCCTGGGACAGCAATCTTTTTAAACCACTCGTCCATCTTACGACATAAGGTTAACTTAAAACTAGATAACCTATAAATCAACTTAATCCACAAAACCTGTAATGGTCTTACAGTGAACACACGAGTGTGAGCACCATTATCTTTCTATTCCAAGGCGTGCAGATCCCTTCTTCCCTCAGGTCACCCGTGAACCGTGTGGAGCAAGTGGAACCCATGGACCCGGCGAGGTCACGGTACCACCACACAGCAAACGTCAGTATAGCTCAGTTCTTCTGTGTTTGTAGTTTTAAAAATGCAAGTGAAACTTCAGACATTCCCCCAAGCCCACATCAATCAATGGGTCACCGTGCACATCCCACTGTAGAAAACATTATTCATAAAAAATGGTAGAGAGAAAAATCTGAATTTAGCAGTGACAGAATATACTAGGCACTCAGAAAATATTTGTGGAAAAGAGGAAGACAGAAAGGGAAGGAAGGGGAGTAGGAATTAGGGTGGCTAAGAAATTTTAAAAGTTGATATATCCTACAGAATAGAGTTATCGAAAAATCACGATTATGAATTAAGGTTTTTAAAAACAAGGTACTGTTATTAAAATCTGTGATTTAGAGTAGATTAAGAAATTAGGAGATGAGACCTAAGAAGTCTAGGATTGGGATTGCTTTTACCTACGCTCTAAGATCAGGTGGTTTTCGTTTTTGTTCTTTGTTCTATTTTTGGACGTAAGCAAAGGAATCCGCATTGGAACCAGGAGCTCCGGACAGAATAAGGGTCCGGGCAACATCATTTAAGTTCAAGGTTATGTTAGCACAGAAGCCTTTTAATTTCTTCTGAAGTTAATTCGATCTTAAAAGTATACTGCGTTCAAGTAGAACTGTATAAAGCTCATACGACAAAAAAGTAAATTTACAACACTTGAAACATAAACATATTCCGATTTGGTAAAGAGGTATTATAAAGTCACTATCACGAAAAACTGAAAGCCGAGGATTGAGTTCTCACAGATGACTACGGCGCACAGCTTGCCACTGTCCAACAACTGTTCAGGACAAAAGGCAGAGCCAGTCACCGCACCACACCAAAACAGCTTCCAAACAGAGTCCAAGCACTGACGACCTACTGGAGCCAGGAAAACAGGAGTCATTCAAAACGCTGTCCCAGGACGAGCATGTGAGATGAGCCCCCTACCTTTGTGATGAGCAGGCGGTATCTATCCAGCATGGCCTGGTTGTCATGGCAGCCTGCTAACAACTGCCATACTTCTGCCCTCAGAGCTTCA